CTCCGACCCGTGTTGGTGTTGGGAACTTGAGTCACAGGTGCTCTATGGAGATCACGCACTTGAGGTCCTCCAAGGCGAGTCACCAGTGGAGGAGGTAGACGTGATCTTATGGGCATATCGCACCACCCCTCAACGAGCCACCGGTGAGACCCCCTTCTCACTATCCTACAGTTTCGAGGCCCGCACCCCCGCGGAGGTGGTCATACACTCTCACCGAGCCTAGGAGTATGATCCGGACCTCAATGACAAACACTACCGGGTGGACCTCGACTTGGTAGACGAGAGACGAGAAGTCGTTATGGTCCGAGTCGAAAACTACCAACAATAGGCTAAAACGTACCACGACAAACGGGTCCGCTCCCGCTACTTCCACGTTGGGGATAAGTGCTTCGAAGGCGGGAGGTGAGCCAACCTCAAGCCAGGGGTAAACTCGCCAAGAAGTAGGAGGGCCCCTACATAGTGACAACCGTAGTCCGCCTAGGTAGCTACAAACTCAAGACCCCAAAGGGGAAGGTGGTAGCTAGAGTATGGAATGCCGAGCACTTATTGAAGTATTTTCAATGATTTACTTGTTAGATGGTGGTCCATTCCCTTCATATCAATAAAATTTGCAAAAATTTTGTCATGGACTCATTTTCACTACTTCTTTTGGGCGAAAGGGAGGTACTCGCCCGACCCCTCCAACCATACCCTAAGGGGGCGCATGGTCCGACCTCGCGCACTACCCCCGACGGAAGTGCTTAACGGCCCCGGGTCAAAGCGACCTAGGTCGGAGGGCTATCACCCATTGGGGGGCACGAGGTCCGACCTCGCGCACTGTCGCAAACGGAAGAGCTCAACTGCCCGGGGTCAAATGACTTGGTTCGGGGGGTTATCACCCTAAGGGGGGCGCGAGGTCCGACCTCACGCACCACCCCCAACAGAAGAGTGCAACGGCCCGGCGTCAAATGACCTTAGTTGGAGGGCTATCACGCTAAGGGGGGCACGAGGTCCGACCTCGGTCGCCACCCGACGGAAGATCTTAACGGTGTAAGCTATCAATCTGAGGGGGCACGAGGTCCAACCTCGCGCACCGCCCCCGACGGAAGAGCTCAACGGCCCGAGGTCAAACAACCTTGGTCGGGGGTCTATCAACCTATGGGGGGCACGAGGTTCGATCTCGTGCACCACCCCGACGGAAGAGCTCAACGGCCCAGGGTCAAATGACCTTAGTTCGAGGGCTATCACCCTAAAGGGGGAACGATGTTCGACCTCACTACTTGCCACCCGACGGAAGAGTTTGTCGACCTAAGGGGTACCCTTGGCCATATATATATATATATATATATATATATATATATATATATATATATATATATATATATATATATATATATATATATATATATATATATATATATATATATATATATAAACAAAAAAAAAAAATCAAACAAACAAACACTCTAAAGCTATTCCATGGCGCGGGGTCCGACCCCCAAATAAAGTTCAAGACCCGAGCTTGAAGTCAGCCAGCGAGATTACCAAGCGAAGGCGTGGCCGACTATGACTTCGGATTCGGCAATGAGCCGAGACCTTGTGCCGACCCCTCGGCCGAGGTCTTGTGCTAACCTCCTTAGTCGAGGTCTCTCGTTGACCTCTCGGCCAAGGCCTCATCCTCGTGCCGATCACCTTCGTTGAGGTCTCTCGTTGACCTCTTGGCCGAGGCCTCATCCCCTACCGACCCCCTTTCTTGAGGCGGTTGGCCTAACAGGTGCGTAGCGGATGGTGGGGTCGACATTTGGTCCTATTACCCCTATCCGGTCGAACAAAAATTTAAAGCAGGTGTTAAATAAGTATAAATTAAAGCGAGGAAGATAGAGTTCAACATTCAGCAAGTGACCAGGTTCAAGTACATAATAAAGGAAGGAATCAAAAGCTAAATTGCCATAAGTCTACTCATTCAGACAAGGTGCGACGGCGGGGTTGAACTCGATGGTGGCGGATGCGACTAGGGTCACCTCATCTACCTCGTCTTTGGTCTCGGGGAAGCTAAGATTCAGCAAGGTGGGGGAATAGCTCCAGAAGATGGGACGGTCACAACCGGCTCATCAGAGCGATCCAAAGGAAACAAGAAGAAAGGAGCAGTGGCGGCGGCCTCTCCACTCTCTGGGGCGTCAGTCGTCTGCTCGTGCACCTCTGGGTCTGTGTTCTCCATCTCAGCTGGCAGCCCCAAAGTCGCTGGGTCAAAAGTGTCGCCCTTCTTGCACAGTTTGGTCTAGAGGTCCTACTGCATCATGTACTTGCCTAATTGATAGGCCACTGCGCCCTCCTCTGCCAACCTTTCCTTTCCCGCTTCGGTAGCCAGCCAGGTGGTCACCAAATCGTCGATGTGCTCTTGGGCCCTCAGCGTCCCAGGCAAAACCTCCAGATCTCTTGTAGATGGGGACGGCACGTGCAAGTTCCTTAGCGTGACTCTTCCGCTCGTCCGCCGCGGCTCTCTTCTCCGCCTCCAAGGACATGAGCGCATCATCAGCGCGCCTCTTCTCTGCGTCCAGGGCCTTGAGTGCGTCATCAGCCGTCTTTTTTCGTCCTCCAAGGCTCGAATGACCTTTGCGGCACGGCTAGTAGCCTCCTCAAAACGGGCATCAACCGTGGCGGCCCAGTCTTGCAAGTGACACCGGGGGGTCGTCAAACACCTAATCTTGGGGTATGAAAATTGAAATTGAGGGGCATAAGGAAGAGAGAAAGTACCTCAAGGGAAGCTTGAAATCCTCGAACCATGTCGCGGGCGCTATCAGCTATGCGGGGCACGGGTGGAACCGGCGGAGGTGGGGGAAACACCACCGTAGTCGGAGGTCGGCTCGGCTCCGCCCAGCAACTCTTTGTCTCTTGGATGCCGGGCCACGCTCCACAACGCGGTCAAAACGCTCTCGAAGTGAGGTCATACCGGATGATCTCCCTTCAAACAAATCAAATCAAGGTAAACATACGCAAGTATTCTAAATAACTCGTGGGCCAAGTCTTCTTTACATAGCAACATATGTTTGGAAAAGAAAATAGATGTATATATGGTGAATTAAATTCCAGAAGGTGATGAGCTTATTAATATGGTGAATGAATTAATTCAGTACCTTAATTAACTTAACACCGAGTTTATATTGCATTTAGTTCTTCATATTTCATGGAGTATTATGATTATGATTGCCCTACCAGTCTTCTAGTCCTAATTGCTGTATATCAATGCCAATATCATGTAATTCAACACCTCATTATTACTAAGTTCATATTGTATATAACTCGTCTAATTTCATGGAGTATTACAGTTACCTTTCCAAACTGCTAGTCTTCCTTGTATTGCACAACTACAAATTGCGTGATTATATAGGAATTTGGGTTCTAACAAAAGGTTTCAAGAGTTTGCCATGTGGCTCTCACAGTGTACTTACCATGACAACTAAGTCATGCTTTGCACTAGTTTCAAATTCTACAAGATGTCAAGATATGGATTATGACCTGCTTGTGAGTTCAACAGAGTTATTACCTTTTAGGCTCAGAAACAAAACTTCAAATTTGACTTTTTAATACAGTTTGCCTGAGTCCTGAGAAGTTTACTTATTTTTTGCATGTTGGCCCTTAGACACAACCATGCAATTTGGCTCCATAGTTCCATGCTGATTAGTTAGGGGTCAGCAAAAATATCATATCAATAAAAAAAACCGACATTTGATAATCGTATTGCTTAAAAATTTTGGCTATCGGTTGGTTATCAGTTTTATAATATATATATATATATTTTTTTTTTTATTTTTCGTTATTTGATTGTTTTGAAAAATATACTGAACCAACTGGAAAACTGAACAAATATTTAAACCCAAGCTCAAATGAAATACACGTTACAATTATTAGGATACAAGCATAATTCACCCATACACAGTTATACTCAAAAGTAAAAAATAATGCTATCACCCTTGTAATTTTCCTTCTTAACATGACACTATTTGATTGGATACTTTAACTTTTAATAATTTTCCTTCTTAACATGACACTATTTGATTGGATACTTTAACTTTTAATTACAAGCTAAGTTAGGCACTCAATAATTATAAGTCACATTAGCAGGAAAAACTTTAGGAGGGGTAAGAAGCATTTATGAAAGTAAAATCCCCTCAAACCCAGCCCTGTTATTAGCCTGTAACCTATTCTCTTCATCGTCACATGCTGTTTGACCGTTTTCACTGCTCGGAGTTAAAACATCGCCGTGGGATGAAGGTTTTGTGAGGAATATGTGCCAACTTTTCTTAATAAGCTTATTGCGCTCTCACTGCTTCAGATTCAGATTTACCCCCAATCTCAATTCTCACTGCATAGATCTTAGTGAATTGAATTTCTGCCCAGTGATTTTACATCACAAATAGGGTAATTTTCTGATTGAATTTATCAATTCTGGATTTGTGGGAAATCATGTAAGTGCGGCTAATTTTCTTAAAATTTTAGTTTTAATTTATCTCCAATATCAGTTTTTTTTTTTTTAAATCATATGAAGGATTTTAAATTCCAGATAGTTGCCATTATGAAATTAAGGACTGGCCTTTGCTCTCTTGAGAATTCTCTGATTAATCATCTCGATCTCACCTACGGGAGAGTCAATAGCGCCTCCTCAAACCCATAACCTCTCATGTCAGAGTTTAACTTTGTATCATTGGACCACAAGGTTCTTGGTGATTTAATTCCTGTTTTGGTCCTAGTATTATTAGAGATTGTTCACTTTTCGTATTCCTGTTTTAGTCCTAGTATTATTAGAAGTTGTTCACTTTTCGTTTAACATACAAAATTTTGCTACATTTTGACCACTTTTATTCTGACTGTTCCACTTTTAGTCCTTCGTTCATTTACACGTCTGTGGACCCTCAATTTGGAGGGCATTATTGTCATTCCATTTTGGCTTCTTCACCTTCCAAGAAAAAAAAAAAAAGAATTAACCTAATAGCAATTATCAACCCTAGTGAAGCCAGAATCTCCGATCAATTTCTTACGTATCTGTGGTGGCAATTCCTTCTGGTACCATTTTCGCTGGCTGCCTAGCTATCTGCCCTCAGCTGTGAAGGTCAGTCTATCTCTCTCTGTTTTTTTTTTTTTGCTTGTTTTCCATTTCCGTTTAAGGAGTAGAGAATTCTAAAAAGCTATGCTTTCATATAGTTCGAAATGCAATTATTTTTTCAAACTTTCCGTGGTGCAGTTTTGAACTCAAAAGTATTTGTATTCTCAAAGTTTTTCTCAGTAAAAATGCCATATTTCTGGTGGAAATGCTATATATTGAAGATATCTGTTTGAGTGTTGACGAATTAAAATTTTGTGTCCCAAGTGCAATATATAGAAGATTTTATTCTTATTTCCATCTAGCTATTCCTTTGGCATGCATATTGTATTTGTTTGAACTTGAAGTGAGTTTCCTAGTAACTGATTTTGTGCATCTGTATGTAATACAACTTAAATGTGCTACTCACCCACAGATAAAAGACAGTTGTTATATGAATTACCATTCTTTGCTGAAGATGCATAGGCATTACCATTCTTTGCTGAAGATGCATATAGGCATTACCATCGTGCTTCCTCCCTTCGTAATTGCATTCTACAATCAGTGATTGAGTTTCAATTGCTTTTTCCAATTTATTCGAATTTGGTAGGATTTGCTCAACTTCAATGACTGTTGGTAATTGCTATTAGGTAAATTCTTTTTTTTTTTTCTTCTTCTTCTTCCTAGTCCTAGAAGATAAAGGCCGGAGAATAAGACAAAATGGAATGACAAAAATGCCCACCAAATTGACGGTGTTAATGGACGGAGGACTAAATGTTGAATTGTCAGAATAAAAGTAGTCAAAGTGTGGCAAAATGTTTTTATGGTGGACAACCCTCAATAATACTAGGACTAAAAAAGGAATTAACTCTCAGATTAACTACATATAGAAGGGATTATTTATGTGGGATACTCTTATTCCAATATTTGGAAGCAAAATTATAAAAATATTCATGCTGCTTGAGTGCTTGATTATTTCTATGCTAGGAAGACAGAAGTTGCGGTTCTGGCTCTTGGTAAAAACTCAGAAATCAGATGATTGTTAAACACAGTAGGAAAAATATTCGTATTCTAATACTCTAAGTCTCCAACACATAATACTCTAATAGTCTCCAACACATAATTCTATTTATAGTCTAAGAAAGGTTACTTTTATTTAACCTATTGTTGATGATGAATCCAAAGTTACTGAAAGATTGCTCCTTAGCCCAAAAACCTTTAAAACTGCACCCAAGGAACCACTGGAAAAAGTTTTCCTTAAATTTGAGGAAAATTAGATTTTTCTCCGTTTGGTTCATGGAAAACTTTTTCCACTCCTCCCCCTTGGTATTTTGTTTTCCATGGAAAATTAATAGGACAATTTTGCCCTCTAGAACTTTCTTAATTACCCTTATTATTATTATTATTATTATGTAGGGGTATATTGGTCTTTATACTCATTATTCCTTACAATTCCGAACCCAACCAAACAATGGAATCAATATTTCAAGTAATTTCTTTTCTACCAACCAAACAATGTAATTAATATAATAAATTCTTTTCCATGGAATTTCAATTCCATTCCTCAAATATTTTCCGCGAACCAAACGAGCTGAATATAAGGAATAAGGAATTATGTGCAGTGGCTTCCCCTTTTTCTTTTGGAAGAAAACAATGATGAATGGGATTGATGCCATTAGGCTGCAATTTTATAATTGTGGAAAATTACTAAACTACTGTGGACATAAGAGCATGAAACACTTAAGTGTACCATAGGACATAAGGATCTCTGATACTTGATTCTTTGTGCAGTGCTTTCTCTGGGTTATTTTTTCTAAATAATTAGTGAAAGTGTTTGAATTCTCAGAGTATGGTGGTGCTGAAGAGGTATGTGTTGCGATTGTTCATATCTTTGAAGTACATAACTGCAAATGTAGTAGATAGGAATAATGGTCGGATAGTTGCAACATCATCTAGTGTTGAACAATCACTGAAGAACTCATTTGAATGTGGGCGGACCTGCAATGCCAAGGCTGCAGCAGTTGTGGGAGAAGTATTGGCGATGCGCCTTAAAGTGGATGGCCTTGATCAAGGAGGGGGAAACGGGATCCATGTCAACGTAAACAAGGAGGTTGAGAAGAAGGGTTTCAAGAACCGAACAAAGGTGTGGGCTATAGTAAATGGCCTTAAGAACAACGGAGTTAAACTTGTCTTGGATGATGATGCTTTTCATGAAGTTTCCGGCCCAAGCAACTGATGAAGCTGAGGAACGTTAACCCCAAACTTGTGTTTCTACATTGATGATGTTTTGGGATCTTAGAGAGTTGACCCCAATAATGCCTAACCCCACTGCTTACTTTTAAGTAATGATGAGCAAAAGAAAATCCTTTTTCACAAAGTGAAAGTAAGCACTGCTAGTCAAAGAGATCATAAAAGCTATATAGCAGCCCACAGCCATGTTGCACATTTCCTTTCCTTTTTCTGTTAATGTTTCAGCCTCAAAAGTGAAGCTACTTAAAGTTGAAATATACAGTCCCTTCTTTATCTTGTTGCTGATTTAGCATTTTTAATGCCTAAGTGAAACTGGCACCATAAAGACAGGCTCTAAAATTTTGTGGCAATGTATAAAGCTGAGTTGCTTTTGGAGTAGCTAAGTGGAGAAGCTGAATCACAAACTGCCCTCAAAACTGTATCCCATGTTCTGTACTGTTTAACTACAGCTCTGGGATTGATTACATATATAAGATAAGACTAGAATTCAAGCTCAAGATTTATTTTTTTTTTTTTAATTTTTTTAAAGAAATATAAGTTAAACCCTACCCATTATACCCCACTTGCTAATTGTGACAAACTCCACTTATTGTATGTTGTTCAGCTCGCATGAGTTGTCAAATAGTAGCAGTTGATCAATTAATAAGTTTTTAATATCTATTTAATTAAATTCTTATATTTGCCTAGTCAAGATGACACCATTGTTGTAAAAATCGCCTAGGTGCTAAGTGGCTCTAGGTTCTCACCCAAGACTCACCTCTGTGTTCTCTTAAATTAAAGATAGCAATTAAGCTTTATGAAAAATAAAGCATTAATAAGTTTTTAGCTTATGTGGAAGACAGAGGTAAGAGGAGAAAAAAGAAAATCTAGGAAAAAAATAAAATATAAGAGGAGAAAAAAGAAAATCTAGAAAAAAAATAAAATAAAATTGACGTTGTCGGTGTGCATTGGGCGCATAAAATGCCTAAGAAACTTTTTTTTTTTGAATTTTTTATTTTTTGCATCTCTTTTTTTTTTCCTTTTTCCCCTCGACTTTTCTCCTACATAGCATCTCAAAATTTGAAAAAATAATAATAATAATAATAAAATCAAAGCGTTGTGGTTGCTTAAGTTGGGCGCTTAGGTTCCCTAGGCGCTAAAGACCCATCAAACGACCGTGGTTGCCTACCAATGTCTACAAGATAGGATGACACAAAGTTCTTTGTTTTAGTTGATGGTTTGTGTTTAAATGTCTTTGGACATTATACTATTGTCTCTTTGTATTAGGTACAATTATATACGGAGTTTTTTATTTAAATTGTATCGAAATATGTGTACTGGTCAACACTTTCAACAAATCTTAAATATAGATATGTTTGGTTGGCGTTTTGTACTTGACTTGACGGTAATGTTCAACTCTGAAATTGTTATAATAATTAAAATTAAGAGTACGTTTGTAATTATTGATTGTATAACTACCGTTTCACTGAAAAAAATCTATTGAATTGAATGTGAAGTATTTATTACTACAATCTACTCCTTCTGATCGTTCATTAATTACAAAAGTCCCTAAAAATATGTCTTTCATTTTCTTTGGAAAAATTCTATTCACACCACCTATTTTACTATTTGCACCACCTATTGAATAGGTCAAACCACTTTATGGGTAATGCTAATTAAAAAAAATGCTATTTGCATCACCATCATTTAATGTGGTCAAAGACAAATATTTATTTTATATATATATATTTTTACAATCAAATTATTAATTTAAAAAAAAAAAAAGTTAAACGCCTCACCTTCTCCAGTGAGAAGGCGAGGGACTGCCTTCTCACCGGAGAAGGCAGCCCAGGGGTCGCCTTCTCACTGGAGAAGGCAACCCAGGTGGGTTGGCTGCCTTCTCACCGGAGAAGGCATGTCCATGGCCTTCTCCGGGGGAGAAGGCGATGGTTTTTTTTTTTTTTTTTTTTAATATTTTAATGAATTAAATTTTGAATTAATTAATTATTACTTAAATTTAATAAATGCAATTTTACTAAGGTGGTGTAAATAGCATTTTGACCACCCATTATGCTATTTGCACCACCTATGTATTTATTATAAATTATCACCTTTTTATATTTTCAATGTACTTTATACTCCATTTTAGTCAAAGGGTGGTGCAAATAGCTACACCCCTTTCTTTGTTCCCAAAAGGTTGAATCCCCAACTTCAAGGGTCACATATCTCAGCCAGACAGAGCATCTAGGAGGATATAAATTATGGTAACTCAGCAGAATACAGAGTTTTTATCTTTGCTTACTGCACTTTGAGAGGTTGCTCCTACCCTATCGCTAGTGTCTGGTGAGACTTGATCATGGATCATTGTTCTCAAACTTCACTACTGTGACTAATTGAACTACCCATGCAGACATATCCTTCCATTTTCTTGTTTTTGTGTCGAAAAGAAATAAATTTTAATTAGAATTATAAGGACGGAAGAATCCTAAGCAAATGTAATTAATAAAACTTTAATAACACTAATGACTTGGTATTCGAGTGATATACTTCAATGACACTAATGACCTAATAGTTGAGTTCTCCAATACTCCGTAATATTTTTAAAGAAACAAGAATGAAACAGCAAGTCCCTATTTGGTAAAATAGTTAGCTTAACACCTAATCTTAATTTATTTGGTCACTATTAATTGTTTGATTTGGGTTAAAAAATTAATATAAGTGTTTGGATAATTAGCTTTTTGTAACTCTAAAATGCTAAAATTCAAAAAGCTACTCAAAGCAACTTTTTCAATTAACTTTTTGAGAAAAGAAAGTATATCAAACAGTTATCAACTAACAGCTAATTTACCAAACACCTCTCTACAATCAGCTAATGTAATCAACTAGTTTTACCCTCTAATTAAACCAATCTGTTAATAGCCAATTACCAAACAGGGCCTAAAACAAATTACAGGTAGGGGTTTGTCTTATTAATATATAGGTAGATAGGTAAACTATGAATTATTGTATTACTACAAGGTGACTAAGGAGATTGTTGACTAGAGATGGTCATGCTTGCTCTGAAGTTAGTACAAATGATACAAAGAAGTAGAAGATGGCTCACATGAACAACTCAATTGATTTTGGGTAGTAGATTTTGGACAAGGACATAAGATCAAGTCCTAGTAGTTGTAGTGTGAGAGTCACACCCAATGCGGTGGACACCATGCATTGATCATTCTACTTAATGGGCCGTTGGGTCACTATAATTTAATTATCCACTATCCTGTTAGGCCGGGGTCTGAAAATTCTGAGACGAAGGAATTTCGCCTTTTGTGGGCAAGAGAAACATGTGAGCTTGACATCACAACTTTTGATTAGTTGACATGGTTAGTTGGTTGATCAGAAATTATTACTGTCGTCTAGTTGGTTTGTCGGTGTTGTGATCTCTTAAGTCGATCTAATCTTTTGTGACTATTATTTGATTTATTGGACTAATTGAATTACTCTATAACCCATCATATTGATATTTAAATCAAAATTATTTTTAGTAAAAATCGACTCTCAATTACAAGTAAGAAAATGAAAGTTAAGTTTATGATATTGGATGATCTTATTGTCAATACGTTTGTGGGATTATTTATGATCATATCAAAATAAATTGCATTAAATGACAAGACAAATTGTCATTTGTACGTGCCAAGTGTTATGCTAAAACTGTGCTCGATCAGCTCACTACAATGGACTAAACTTCAATAATGGTGGGTTTCCGCAATAATGGTTTTGCCATAAGAAAAAAAAAACAAAAAAAAAAAACAAAAAAACAAAAAAAAAAAACAAGTGGGGAAATCAGCTTTCAAAAGTCGTCTTTTCTAAATGGTCATTTCATGGCGTTTCTTTTGTATATAATAACACACACAATTAAAGAGGTGCAACCCCACATGCTACATCGCAATTATTTGATTATTGAAGATTTTCTTTCTTTCTTTCTTCTTCTTTCTTCTTCTGTTATACAAGTCAATCCTTGCCCATGTAGCAAAATTTCTCGTCTCGACGGCCTCCACATTCGTGCCTAACAGAAAGATCGAGAGGTAAATTATAGTGATTGGCCTCTTAAGTGAATGGGTTAGTGTTTGGTGATCATAATGAACTCGATCATCACATTGCATGTAAGTAATGTAACTCTCACAATACGACTATCAAAATTTCGATTTTGGTCATGCCCACAATCTACAATTTGCGTACTAACTGAGCTACTCGTACCGGACATTCATTCCTACTTACGACTTTTTTTTTAATACTCATAATTCTTTACAAGGTAATAATATTATTCTATATTATTCTAATGCAATGATAACTTTGGATAGTGCCTATGAATTCGGATGAAACATATTTGGTATTTTATTTTTAAATCAATTCATATTCAGGAGGACGAGTGTTGAGACATGGATCTCGAGTTGGGCCAAGACACGAGGCAAATTATATTATGGATCATGATTTACGTATTTTGTATTCTGAACTTTAATTCAAAATAATATATATTCATATTTTGTATCAGTAATTAACATATTATGAGTTGTAATTAATATATTATGTATTTTTAATTTATTTATACACATAATTTTTTAATAGAGTTTACAATGTAATTAAGGTGTACTGCTATGATCCATAGTATAACAATTGAAGACGCAAACTATGGGCTAAGCAACATGGCAATGGTACGTGGTAGGGGAAGGAGGCCAGGGAGAGAGTATTCAATTCTAACTGGGAAGGAGGGAATTCAAGAGATCTAGCTAAACCTATAAATAGGAATCTCATTTCCCTAGTTTGTATCACATCCTTCACCATTGATATGATTACTAATTAAGCAATAACACTCCTCCATTAGTGTTGTTAGGATTATACATTTATTGCTCGCACGGGCTCATCTCACTAGTTCAGTAGGCAGTATTTGGGAGGCCGGAGAGACCAATGTTCGAACTTTTACAGCAGCAACGTGAGGATCATACCTAAAGTGGACAGATCTCTTGTTCACATGGGCAAATAAGCCCTATCTGCTGAGTCTTTGAGTCACCGTGATTTACATCCTCCCAAATATTTTGTCGGGCCGGAGTGTAAGGGGCTCTTAGGATTGGAGATTCAACCTTTATTTTGAAAGAAGTAGGATTAAATATTTACCACTATACTAAAAGTTATGCCTAGTAATGAAGAAGCAGATTAAAGAAATTTGACCAAATTATATTTTAAGCTCTAGTTTTAATGATCAAAAGCATAAGTTGGAACAAACTATGGAGTATATAATATACATATAATCC